TCAGAACTCGGAAATCCGCAAAAAGACGCCGGGGTGCCCAGAGCCGGCGGGTGTGCACCAAGCGCAGCCCGCGCCATGCCAGGGAGGAAGCGTCCGTGCATCGATCCTGGGCCCACCGTCAGCCTGGCCCAGGCGAAGAGCAGCAGCAGCAGCAGCAGGACGGGGAGCAGGTTCCCACCAAGTGGGCGTTTTCTGATTCGGCTTTTCGACAAGTGGGCGGAGGGAGCGGGGCAGGAGGGGGGGTCTGGCTCCTGACCTCTGCTTGATGCGGCTGTTTGGAACCGTGCGTCCTCTGGGCGGGGGAGACGCCAACTGCTTGAAACAGGCGCCCAAAACAGCCAGCCAAGATCTACTCCATGGAGGGGGAGGGAGGGGGGGGGGCGCGAGGGCAGGCGCCGATCGGCAGAACAATACATACCAAAACGGTGACCAACAACGCTTCGACTGCGGAGTGCCCCAGGTGAACCAAGCAAGCGGCGCCGAGACGCTGCAGAATTGAAGGGGCCCTGGGACACACAAATACATACACACACATAAAAAGATGCCCCCAATTTTCCCATATCTTTTGGGTTTCTGTCTTCCCCCCCCACTCCCCATCTTTTTCCCATATTCTCTGGAAGCCGACAAATAAATACACACAAATAAAAAGATGCCCCCTATTTCCCCCTATCCTCGGGGTTTCTGTCTTCCCCCCCCCCCCCCACTCCCCATAGTTTCCCATATATTCTCTGGAAGCCGACGATTCATTGTGTCTGTGTGTTTTTCCCCCTCCTGAGAGTCAACAAATAAATACACACAAATAAAAAGATGCCCCACATTTTCCCATATCTTCTGGGTTTCTGTCTTCCCCCCCCCCACTCCCCATATTTTTTCCCATATATTCTCTGGAAGCCGAGGATGAACTGTGTCTGTGTGTTTTTCCCTCTCCTGAGAGCCAACAAGAGCAGCGGCCCCGGCCAGGCAGGCGCCACCGCCGCCGCGCTGTGGCGGCGTGGGGCACGGGGAAGGGGAAGGGCAGAGGAGCGGCGGCCCTCCTGGGGCGCCCGGGGGGGGGGCCTCTCCCGGAGGGGCTCCCGGGCGCTCCTGGGAGCTCTCCCCTCGGAAGGCGGGAGGGCGCCCAGGATCAGTTATATATATATATATATATATATATATATATATATATATATATATATATAACAAAACAAACAAAAAAAAAAAAACGTCACGAGCACAATCAGGAATGGCGCGCTTGCTTAAACCAGTCTCGCAATCCAATGCTGACCCACCTACGCATGTCGGGCAGGTCGTCTCGGAGAGACGTGGCATCTCCACGTCTCTCCGAGGCAGCCAGGTCGGGCATGTGCCCCTACAGGCGGATTTGGGAGGAGGAGGAGGAGGAGGAGGAGGAGGAGGAGGAGGAGGGCCACCTTGGAATGCCGCCCTGCCCCTCACCCTCTTTCGTTTCCCGACCTCCTCATGCCCTGCCCCTCGCCCTCCCTCTGCCCCCTACCCCCCCCCCAGACGAAGAACGAAGAAGGCGGACTTGGGACGAGGAGCGGAAAAGAGTCCGAAGTTAGCCTCAAGCAGAAAATCTTGAGGAAATCTCAGAAGATCGCCCCCTGTAGGGGCCCCCGTGCCCGACGCAGCGTCCGGGAGGCCCCTCCGAGGCCTCCTCGGGGAGAAGCCGGCGGCCTCGCCACCGTCCCCCCTCCCCTCTCGGCGCGCGCCGCCGAGGGGGGGCACCACGAGGGAGGGGGGCGCAGGAGGAGGCGGAGGGGGGAGGGCTTCTCAGACACTGAAGCAGGCACGCTCTCGGGGATATCCCGAAAGCGCAGGACACGCTCGAGTCCCTATTGGTTCACGGAATTCTGCAGTTCACAATGCTCATCACGCTTCGCTGCGCCCTTCATCGTTGTTCGAGCCGAGACATCCGTCGAGGGGGGGAGGGCTTCTTGGAAGGAGGCTGCTCCTTAGAAGGCGCGGGCCTTGCATCCATGGATGGGGCCAGCGCCTTCCAGGAAGCCCTCCCCCTCCCCGGGCACCGCGAGGAAGGAGGCGCAGGAGGAGGCGCGGAGGACCAGGTCGGGCATGTCCCCCTACAGGCGGATTGTGTGTGGGGGGGGGGAAACTGCCCCCAGAGGATCACACTAATTTGCAGAAAAGTCGTCGCCTGACGAATTTTTGACTAATTGTGTAGATTCCTCCTGGATTCCTCCTGTAGGGGGACAGGCCCGACTTAACGGCAGGACCACCGACCAGGCATCCAAAGAAGGAAAGAAAGAACGCCATGAGCACAAACGTATAGCGCTCCGCGCAGACTTCTCGAACCTGCGCTGGACCCCCCTCCCTGGCGCGCGGAGCGCGACAAGGGGCGGCGCCGCTGGAGGCCCCACCAGGGGGGCCCAGCGCGGATCCAAGAAATCTGCGCGGAGCGCCAAAAAGTTCATCTTCATGGCGTTTTCTCTCCTCCGTATCTGGGCCTGCGGAAGGGAGGAGGGGGGGGGGGCGGACCGCCACGAGACAGCGCCTCGGGCTGGCGGAGCGCACAAGGGGGTGGAGGGAGGGGGGAGGGCTTCTTAGAAGGAGGCTGCTTCTTAGAAGGCGCTGGCCTCACATCTCTAGATCAGGCCCGCGCCATCTAAGAAGCAGGGGTGCTTCTGAGAAGCCCTCCCCCCTCCCCCCACCCCCTCTGCGCGTGGCTGATCGGGGTCGGAGGATCTCGCCGTGCTTGCACCGGGGAGAGCCTGGCTCGCAGCCCATGAAGGACGACAGCAAGGGCAGGCCCCGCCTACCATCAGGTCGGGCATGTCCTCCTACAGGCGGACATTGGATGTCAAATACAAGATAATCCACAAATAATGAAAACATACTCAGAAAGGCACGAACAATCATCTCCAGGCTATCTTTTTGACTATTCTCGAATCTTCCTCCTGCAGAGGGACATGCCCAACTTAGGCCTGCCAGCTACGCCCACGCTTCCAAACTCGGGATTGGCGCCCCGCAGGGCTCAGCCCCTTTCCAGGGAGTGAGGAGAAGCACAGCCGGACCTGGGACGGAACAACCTCCTTCAAGACATGCGACCCCCCGCCGACCAGAAGAACCCAAGCCGGAAGACCACTCGAAGATGCCCTCCCCCTGCCAGGATGCACAAAAGCATCCAACAAGCACGAAGAGCACTGGGGTACCCTCCCCGAGCCGACCTCGATGGGATACCTCGGTCCGCCCGCAGGGGAGCGTCCTCCGCAACATCCTGGAGTGCGGGTCGCCGGCGGCTTGCGAAGGTCTGGTCGCAACGACTCAACAGGCCAGGGGCCAGGGAACCGCGCAGCTGCCTGCGCCGAGAGAGCAAAGGCTGCGAGCCAAATTCGAGAGAGGGGAGGGGGCACGCACGCCCATCCGGTTGGATCGGCCAGGCCGGAAGATCGGTCTGCAGGCTAAGTGGGCATGCTTGTCAGGGGCCCTGAACCCGCAATGCTGGCACTGGTCTCCGCATGTGGAAACGACGCAGCGCGTACCGAGGGGGGGGGGGGGGCCCTGCATCAAGGAAGTGCAAGGGCGGCGACGGCCCCTGTCCCTGCGCGCAGTCTGTTGCCCCAGTCATGATGGAATCGATGCGCGGCGCATGGCTTATGTCGGGCGTGTGCCCCTACAGGAGGATTTTCGACGAAAAATAATATTATTATTGTTATTATTATTATTATTTATTTATTTATTTATTTATTTATGTATTTATTTATTTATTTATTTATTTATTTATTTATTTATTTATTTATTTATTTATTTATTTATTTATTTATTTATTTATTTATTTATTTATTTATTTATGTATTTATTTATTTATTTATTTAATTAATTATTCATTTATTTATTTATTAGTAGTAGTAGTAGTATGATTAGTATTATTATTACTATTATTATTATCATCATCATTATTATTATGATTATTATAATTATTATTATTATTATTATTATTATTATTATTAGCATTATTATTATTACTACGATTATTATTACTATTATTATTACTATTATTATTACTATTAATAATAATACTGTTTTTTATACAAAAAAACAGGAAATACCCCATAATTAGTCCCCTGACTATTTCTGGACTATCTTTGGACTATGCTTGGGGTATCTTGTATTCTTCGTCGAAAATCCCCCTGTAGGGGGACAGGCCCGACCTAACGCACGGCAGCGTTGGCTGCCCTCCTGCTATAGGTGGCGGGGCGGCACGCCTCGCCGGCTGCGCTGCGGGCGGTGGCCCCTCCCTCTGCGGCGCGCGGGCCCCCGGGCGCGCGCAGCCTCCGCCCGCCGGACCCGGAGAGGCCCGGCGGCGCGAAGGGGGACGAGGAGGAGGAGATGGAGGAGGAGGAGGAGGAGGAGGAGGAGGAGGAGGAGGAAGAGGAGGAGGAGGAGGACGAGGAAAAAAAGGAGGAGGAGGAGGAGGAGGAGGAGGAGGAGGAGGAGGGGGAGGAGGAGGAGGAGGAGGGGGAGGAGAACCAAGGGGAGGGAGGCAGGAGCTGGGCCAGGAGCGGCAGCACGGCCCGGCCCGGGCCCGGCGGCTCCCGCGCGCCGACGCCGCTCGGAGCACGTCTTGGCGCCGAGCGTGCGCGCCTCCCGCGGAGGCCCGCCGCTGTGACGCAGGCGGCGCAGCGGAGGCCGGCGCGGGCGGCGGGCGCGCTCCCGGCGGCGCCGCACGGAGTGAGCACGCAGTGAGCCAGCGCACGTCTCGAGGGCCAGCGAGAGTGCGCCGGGAGGGCGGGCAGGCCCGCGAGCGGGAGGAGTCGTCGGCGATACGCAAGAGTGCCCCCCGGGCAAGAGTGACCCTGTGGTGCGCGGCCTTTTGGGGAGGCGCAGGGGGGGGGCCAAACACACGAGCGCGCAAGACACGCCACTGCCGCCTCGCGCGCGGCGGTCGGGGGCCCCAATCGGGCCCGCACCCAAAAGGTCCCTCCGGCGAAGGGTCGCTCTGAAGTGCAGTCGACAGGGAGGGGGTCAAGAGGGCAGGCCCGAGCCTCGGCGACGCACGCGGCGCACATGTCGCCGCGCCCCTTGCCCTCGATGTTCGCGAGCCTGCGCTCGGGGCCGCCGCGGCTGCGGCTCCAGGGGAGGAGGGAACGAGGGCCCTGACCACGACTGAACGCGGAGGCAGGCGTCGCTGTCGATCTCTTGGTCATCGTCGATTCGTGGAACGTCCTCGCGAGTCCGCGGCGGCTGGCACGGACCACGATCAGGATCGGCGTCGACGAGATCCCGCGGCATCTTGGTCATGTGTGGTCATCGTGTTTCTTCCCTCGGGCTGCTGCTGCTCCTCCACGCCGGTACAGTCGGCACCGATGGGAGAGGACATCCAAGAGGGCCGAGATCTCTTCCGAGGGCGCCCCGCGCTCCAGAGAGGAGGGCACGACGCGCGACAGGGAGGACATGAGGGCACCCTTGATCTTGTGGGGTCGGCCTGACAGTCAGACCCGACTCCTCCACGCTGCTGTGGTTACAGCTCAAGTCCAACCCGATCAATCCCATGTCGCCGACGACGCACTCTTCCTGCCGAACCTCCGCGGCCCCCCTGGCTCCAGGAGACCTCATGTGGGGCCGCCGCCGCTGCAAGCGGTGTGCTGCTGCTGCTGCTGCCAAGAAGGGCGCCATGTCGGAGGGGGCTCTGGCTCGGCATGACCCCGGTCAGGGAATAGACACAAAATAAAGATCCTCCTCTCCATCATGTTTCTCTCTCTCTCTCTCTCTCCCTTCTTCGACCTTTGAAGGCAGCGAAGCTCCTCTCCCCGACTAGAGGGCTCCCAGATGGGGTCAGAGTAAAAGAGGTCGGTGGACCGCACCGCATTGCCGATGCATCGGCGACGTCGGCGACGTACCGGCGCCGTCGGCATGGAGAAAATCGAGCTCAACATCGAGCCGCCCTGGCGATGCATCAGCGATACGACGCGACCCTCCGACCCCATCTGCTCGGACCCCCTCTGGGGGCAGGTGCGCACAGGGGAGTTTCTAGAAATTCCATGCCGGTGGCCTGTCTCGAGGCACTCCCTCGCGACACTCGCGAGCCTGCTCTCGGGAGGGCGGCGCGAGATGCCTGGCGCCGCCGCCGCCGCTGCAGCAGGCCGCTGCCCCCGCTCGCCGCGCTCGCGCTGGGGGGGGGGGCGGGCGCGAGGTGCCCACTTTGGACGCCCGAAATGGGTACGGAAAGAATGGGCACTATGCCCAACAACAAATGTTGTCCCAAACCAACAGCGGCCGCTGTTGGGCAGCCGCGGCGGCGTGGACAGCGAGTCCTGTCCAGAATGAACAGGAACTGCTGTTGGGCATCGTACCCATTCTTTCGGTACCCATTTCGGGCGTCCAGACCCACCTTGGTGGCGCTGCTCAGCGGCAGCCGCCCCGCGGGACAGAGGGGCACCGATGGGGGGGTGGGGGAACGTCCGCTTGGAATTGGCGGGATGCATCGCCGACGGCTCGGCGACGCGCCCCCGCAAGCCAAGCTGCACCTGCCGGGGCGGGGCGGCGCCAGCAGACCCCTATCGGGGATCCATGCATGGGCGACTGGGGGGGCGACGCATCCCCCCCCAGACCTATTCCCCCCCCTCTCGTTGCCTCTGGCGGAACCAGCGCGCGGCGCTCACCACCCCGCCGGGCACGGCGGGCCACGTGCGCAAGTTGCCAGCGCGCCCAGACGGCACAAAAGAAACTGCTCCGCCTAACTAACTGCTCCGCCTTAGGCTAAGGCGACGCCTGTCCTGGGGCGCCCGGAAAATTTATATACCCCGACGTGTCTCCGCAGGGAGAACCTTTCCACCCGCCCTGGGACAGGCGTCCCCGATGCCGGCAAAGCTTATCCGATACCTCTTCGGGTCAGTCAGGCCTTGCGGGATCCTACAAGATCCTGCAGGATCCTGCGCCCAAGCCCTGGTCAATGCAACCCTAGCTCTGCAGGATCCTGCAGGATCCCGCGCTCTGACTGACCCCCGTTTGCATTGACCCCTGTCTCCTAAGCCCCGAACAGAAGGGACGGCCACCCGACGGCGATGCCGCACATCGGGCGTCGCTTAATGACGGACAGAAGCCGCGCCCAGACGGCGCATTGGCAAGGAAAATTTTGGCAGGTGACGGCATGCCGGCGCATGCAAAAAAAACATATATAGTTGACTGCGCTGCCGGCGGCTCGGTTGCACACCATGGGAAGACTTTGTACCCCATGGGACGCGATGCATTAACCGGAGAGAGGGAGGGGGAAGGAGGGGGGAGATACATAGGGCGGGGGGCAAGAAATGCAAGGAGAGAAAACTGCACTTCTCAGGCCCTCGAGGCCCCCCTTTGGGGCCCGAAGGGGCCTCTTGAGGGGCCCTAAAGGGCTCTTTTTCGGCAGCCCTCGCTGCCCCCCATTTGTCGTCCCCCCAGTACGCGACACCCACGCACAAAGGGGACGGCCACGCGCCAGTCGGACCTCCTCCACGGGCCTCCCGTGCCAGATGCCAGATGCCGGCCGACCTCCGCAGGCAGGCCTCCAGAGCTGCTGCATCCGGGGCAGGACCCTTGCCATCGCTCGGACGCCCATTCCCCGTGCATTTGTCGGCCTCGCGCGCGTAATTTTCGCGAGACGGTTTAGTATGCTCGTGGCGCGGCACGGGCCACGGCGAGCTGCCACGGCACCTGCGACGGATGGAAATCGACGGCCCATGCCCAGGTGGCTTGGGCGCTCGGCTGCGGCGCTGCCGGACCTGGCTGGGCCCCAGGCCAGGGAGGCCCCGCCGCCCCCCCCTCGGCGGGGCTGTCCCCGCCCTCCTGCCCGCACGGCACGGCACGCCGCGGGCAGGCCAGAGCACGACCGGCCACGGTCATGGCTGGCTGCCTGGACGCCGGGGCGGAGCCCCCCCTCCCCCCCCCTCCCACCTCCCCCCCTCCCCTCCTCCTCCTCCTCCTCCTCCTCCTCCTCCTCCTTCCTCCTCCTCCTCCTCCTCCTCCTCCTCCTCGCCTCCTCCTCCTCCTCCTCCTCCTCCTCCTCCTCCTCCTCTCCTCCTCCTCCTCCTCCTCCTCCTCCTCCTCCTCCTCCTCCTCCTCCTCCTCCTCCTCCGCCTCCTCCTCCTCCTCCTCCTCCTCCTCCTCCTCCTCCTCCTCCTCCTCCCCTCCTCCTCCTCTCCTCCTCCTCCTCCTCCTCCTCCTCCTCCTCCTCCTCCCCCTCCTCCTCCTCCTCCTCCCTCCTCTCCTCCTCCTCCTCTCCTCCTCCTCCTCCCTCCTCCTCCTCCCCTCCTCCTCCTCCTCCTCCTCCTCCTCCTCCTCCTCCTCCTCCTCCTCTCCTCCTCCTCCTCTCCTCCTCCTCCTCCTCCTCCTCCCTCCTCCTCCTCCTCCTCCTCCTCCTCCTCCTCCTCCTCCTCCTCCTCCTCCTCCTCCTCCTCCTCCTCCTCCTCCTCCTCCTCCTCCTCCTCCTCCTCCTCCTCCTCCTCCTCCTCCTCCTCCTCCTCCGCCTCCTCCTCCTCCTCCTCCTCCTCCTCCTCCTCCTCCTCCTCCTCCTCCTCCTCCTCCTCCTCCTTCCTCCTCCTCCTCCTCCCCTCCTCCTCCTCCTCCTCCTCCTCCTCCTCCTCCTCCTCCTCCTCCTCCTCCTCCTCCTCCTCCTCCTCCTCCTCCTCACCTCCTCCTCCTCCTCCTCCTCCCTCTCCTCCTCCTCCTCCTCCTCCCCTCCTCCTCCTCCTCCTCCTCCTCCTCCTCCTCCTCCTCCTCCTCCTCCTCCTCGTCCTCTTCCCCATGCCGATGGCTTCCGCAGCCCCTGGGGCGGGTCATTGTGCAGGACGCATGAGGCGCCGGTAAGGGCGTGCGCAAGGCGCACGAAGCCGGGGCGACACCGGGACAAGAAGTACTTACCGTACCTCAATGACGACAGTCTCCAGCGGCAAGGCTGGAGGTCCTGCGCACCTCGAAGTCTCCGCCTCAGCGGCTTCACTCGGAGTCACTACCTCGAGGGCTGCACTTCGAGGTCGTTCACCTCGAAACTCGACATCTTCACCTCAGTACAATCCCGTCGGGGTCTTCACCTCGAGGTCTTCACTTCGAGGCTTCCACCGCGGGATCTTCACATCCTTCGAAGTGTTTTCCTTGTGGAAGTTGTGTTTCAATTGGGACTATATGGTGAAGCGCAGTCCAATTTCTCCCCTAAGGCATCGAAGGCCCTCCCCGCGTGCCTGGGCGACAGCGGCGTGGGATCTAATGGCCCCACCTGCCGGTCAAGCGCGGCCCTCTCCAGGGAGGTCGCGTTACGACCGATGGCCATTACCAGAGCGGTAATGCTCGGGCATGCAGGAGGCCACAGCCAGATAGCTCCAGCTGGCACCCCACCTGTTTTTCTTGGGGGGGCCCGCTTCGGCGGCCGCTTGACGGCCCCAGTGCCGTAGCGAGCACGGCAGCCCTCGACATGGTCGGATTTCGCCATTCTGAGAGGCTCGGCAAGGCCCACCTGAGGCTGACTGTAGGCGCCGCCATTGTGGTCCCAAAGAAAACGTCGGAGGTTTTGACCTCCAGGACACAGCCCGGCGGCAATGCCGGCGATCCCCTTCACCTTCATTATGAAGCACTGCGCGGCGACAATGCTGGCGCTGTTTTTGTCAATCGACACGTCGGTAGGTTTGCTCTCTCGGACACCGTCTGGCGGCAATGCCGGCGGCCCCGCGCACGTTGACTTCCTTGCGCGAGGCATGTGCCTCCAGGACATGGCCCAGTGCCAATGCTAACGGAGCTATCTTCACGTCGAAGATGCTGCCCTCCACGACACAGCCCAACGGCAATGCCGGCAGTCCTGCTTTTACCCTTCCGAAGCGCGTGCTCCCAGGTAACAGACCAGCGAAATTGCCAGCCACTGCTTCACTCCAGCACGACGGAGGTAATGACCTCCAGGACACAGCCTGGCGGCAACGCCGGTAGTCCTACATACCGTCTTTACAAGTCACGCGTCTCCAAAACCGGGCCCAGCGACAATGCCGGCGCTGTTTTCGTCAGTCGACACGTCGGAGGTTCTGCCCTCTCGGACAAAGCCCGGGGGCCCGGCGGCACTGCCGGCGGTCCTGCGCGCGTGCTCG